CTGAGCAAAGACTGTCTGGTGCCTGTGTGAGGCTCCAGAGTCCTGTCATGACATAAATAAGGCACAATGACAGAGGCAGCCTAAGAGGGAGAAATTGTGGGGAGGGGACAAAGAGGTGTGTAGAGGACTGAGTGACAGACAGGTGGAACCTTACCCTGACAATCTCTGAGAGGCCCTGTAGGGCAAAGGCCCATCCTGGGAAAGTTGATTCAGGGCTGCAAGGGTTGTGAATGGAGGTAGCACCAAACTCTGACCTGCTGACCTCCGTGTTGGCCCTCAGCCTGAGCATCTACGTTCTCAAGGAACTAGCCATGCGGGCAGCTGCAGCTCATGATGAGCCATTCCAGACACATGCCCCACCCTGATGTCAACCCTGTGACCTCAAACATCTTCTCAGAAGCCTCCTTGGCTTAGGGACCTCTCTGGGGTAGCCTAGTTCCTTTGGCTCCCTGACAACCATACTCTTGGGTCTCCCCTTTCTCCTTAATTGTCCTCTCTCCCTCTCTATCTCTGTCTCAGGGTCTCTGAGCAACTAGATGTTTATTTCATTCCCTGTCATGCATCTCAGACCCCAACCTACCCCTATGGCCAGGTGTGTGCAGTCCTGGCCCCACCAAGGCCCATGTGGTCAGACACACCTGTCTCCACCACAGCCAGACCACAGGCCAGACATGACGTGGAGGCAAGTGGCCACAATGTGGAGGTGGAACAGGAAGTGGGAGAGGGACCCCATCTAGGGGCCAGACACACAGTCATGCAGCCCCCTCAGCTCCTAGCCTGGTCCGTCCGGCAACGACACAGAGAGAACAGGGGATGCTGAGGACACAGCTTCCAGTAAGGCCTTTCCTAGTCCCAAGTTCCCTCCCATAGGGCGGATGGCCTACAGCCATGAGGATGGACATTCAGTGTGGGACCACCTGGCCAAGGGAGGCCTGGCTGTGGAGGACACTCAACAACCTTATTAAGCAGGTGGGTCCCAGTAGGGTCTGGACTCCTCTGCTCACTGGCACACTGGGGAGTCTCAACCAGGCCAGGCCTGAAAACATAGAGTAGAGAAGCATTAGCAAGAAGGAGAAGGAGATTCAAAGAGCAAGAGACAGGGGAATAGAGGACATGACCACAGGTTCAAGGATCTGTCATGGGCTGAGATGCAGAAAACAGAAAACTTGATGAAACCCAACTTCCTGGAAAGCAGCAGCAAGAGACTTACAGGCTAGACTGGGGCAAGGATTAGAAGACAGTAGCAAGGGATTGGGGTGACTCGAGCATCTGTGGCCCGGCTGAGCGGGCCCAGGTTTAGCTGAGCTGAGTTAGGCTGACCTGGGATGAGGAGGAACAAGGTAAGCCAAGTTGGGCTGACTCAGCTAGTCTAGAACGGGCTGAACTGAACTGGGCTACTTTGAACTGGACTGGACTGGACTTTTCTGAGCTGGCTAAGATGAGATGGGCTGTAGTGGACTAAGATGGGGCAAAATGGGCTGACTTGGGTGACTGGGATGCTCTAGAATGGGATGAGCTGGGCCAAACTGGTCTGAACTGGACTGGACTGAGCTAGACTGGGATACTCTAGAATGGGATGAGCTGAGCTAACTAGTTTGAACTGGACTGGACTGAGCTAGACTGGGCTAAGCTGGGCAGAGCTGGGTTAACTTAAAATGGAATAGACCAGTCTGAATTGGGCTGAGCTAAGATAGCCTGGGCTGGGATGTGCTAAGCTAGCCTGGGTTAGTAGGCAAACTAGACTGAGCTAGGCTGAGCTGGGCTATACCAGGCTGAGCTTGGCTGGCATGAGCTGGGCTGGATTAGACTAGGATGAGATGAGCTATGTTGGCCTGGCCTACATTAGACTGGGCTAGGCTGAGCCAATCTGAGGTGGGCTATTCTGGACTGAGATGGGATACAGTAGGCTTAGTTGGGCTGTCTAAGCTAGTCTAGAATGGACTGAGCTGGGCTTGGAGTGGTCTGAACTGGTTGAGCTTCTCTGACTGGCCTGGGCTAGGCTGAGTTGAGTTGAGCAAGGTTAGACTGGACTGGTTGAACTAGCCTAGGCTGAGCTGAGTTGATTGAAACAGACCTAGGCTAAAGTGGGCTTGCTGAAATGAACTGAGCTAAACTGGGTTGGGTGGGATTAGCTAAAATAGGCTGAGCTGGGCTGGGCTGAGATAAGTTAAGATGAGCTGAGCTATACTAAGCAGGATGAGGTGGGATGGAGTGGGATGGGTGGGGTGGGATGAGATAGGATAGGGTGGGATGGGATGGATGGGGTGGGTGGGGTGGGATGTGATGGGGTAGGGTGGAATGAGATTGGATGGATGGGATTAGGTGGGTGAGCTAGGCTGGAATAGGCTGGGTGAGCTAAACAGAGCTGGGATAGGCTGGAATGGGCTGGGCTGAGCTGGACTGGCCTTAGTTGTACTGAACTGGGGTAAACAAGACTGGGCTAGCCAAACCAGGCTGAGCTAGGGTAGCTGATCTGGGATGACTGAGCTAGGCTGATCTAAAATGGACTGGGCTGGGCTGAGCTGGGATGAGGTGACCTGAGCTGGGGTTACCTGAGCTGGGGTGAGCTGAGCTGGGGTGAGCTTAGCTGAGCTGGGGTGAGCTGAGCTATACTGGGGTGAGGTGAGCTGGGGTGAGCTGAGCTATACTGGGGTGAGGTGAGCTGGGGTGAGCTGAGCTATACTGGGGTGAGCTGAGCTATACTGGGGTGAGCTGAGCTGGGATGAACTGAGCTATACTGGGGTGAGGTGAGGTGGGGTGAGCTTAGCTGAGCTGGGGTGAGCTGAGCTGAACTGAGGTGAGCTGAGCTATACTGGGGTGAGCTGAGCTGAGCTGGGGTGAGCTGAGCTGGGGTGAGCTGAGCTGGGGTGAGCTGAGCTGGGGTGAGCTGAGCTGGGGTGAACTGAGCTAGGGTGACCTGAGCTATACTGGAGTGAGCTGAGGTGGGGTAAGCTGAGGTGAGCTGGGGTGACCTGAGGTATACTGGGGTGAGCTGAGCTGAGCTGGGGTGAGCTGAGCTATACTGGGGTGAGCTGAGCTAGACTGGGATGAAAGGGTCTGGCTGGGCTGAGATGAATGAGCTAGAAAGAACTGGGCTGGGCTGGGCTAGAATAAACTAAGCTGGGATGATCCAGGCTAGACTGGATGAGCTAGACTGAAATAGGCTAGCTGAGCTAGACTAAGGTAGGCTGAACTAGAATGAGCTGGGTTGGGGTGAGCTGAGCTGGAATAAATTTAACTAGGCTGGAATAGATTGAGCTGACATAGGCTAAAGTTGGTTGAGCTAAGCTGACTAAGCTAGGCTGGAATGGCTAGCTGAGCTGGTCTGGGCCAGGATGAGCTGAGCTAGGCTAGGCTGGGTATAGCTAAACTAGTCTAGATTGGGCTGGGCTGAACAAGGCTGAGCTTACCTAGGCTGGGCTGATTAGACAGGGTTGCACAGAGCTAGGTTGACTGAGCTGGGCTGAGCTAGGTTAGGTTAGGTGTGCTGTCTGAGCTGGCCTAAGGTGGGCTGAGTTGAGATAAACAGAACTAGGCCAGAATGGACTTACTGAACTGGGCTGAACTGAGTTAGGCTAGAATAGATTGAATGATCTTGCTGGGTTGGGCTAAACTGAGCTGAACTAGGATGGAATGGCATAGGATGGGATAGGCTGAGCTGAGCTTGGCTGATTTGGTCTTGTTGGGTTGAGCTTGCTAAACTGGGTTTATCTGGGTTCAGTTGGCCTTGCTGAGTTGAGCTGGTCTAGATGATCTATCTGTGTTGGCCAGAATGGGCAAAGTTAGTGTGGGATCAGGCTAACTGTGCTTGGCTGGTTAAGATAGACTAATATAAATAGGCCGGCTGAGATGGGCTGGGTTAAGTTGAGCTGGATGGGCTGGGTTAAGTTGAGCTGTGTTGAGTTGGGCTGGGTTGGGTTTGGTTGCTCTGGGTTAAGCTGGGTTGAACTGAGCTAGGCTGGGCTGCACTGGGCTTGGCTATGAGCAGGACTGGGATGAGTTAGCCTTGCTGGACTTGTTCACAGTTCTAGTCTGAACTCTGCTGGGTTGTTAAGCTCTGTACTGAGGTAACTGGAAAACTTTGGACTAAATGTAGACCAATCCTTGTTTCATGAGTCCAGCTTGTTGCCTCTGTTTGTTTTGTATGAATGGGGACCATTCAACTCAGTGTCCATCTCTCCTTCCCCTATTGCCTGGTGGAAATTCAAATGTGTCTGTAAATAGTGCCTACGCTGCATCTGGTCTTGAGGGTCTACTGTTTGTTAAATGGATGGGTGGGGTTCGTGGAGTGGTGAGTTATAGGTCTGAAGTCCTGACAAGGCAAGTGGGGGATGAAAACACAAACAAAATGGCCTTCTCCTCCCCAGTGAACTTTCAAGTTAGGTCTTCCCTGACCACTCCTATCCTGTGCTGACCGAGCTGCTATCTTAGGTTGTCCATTCCTGCCCTGGCCCATCAGTTATGATCCTTCAAATCCTGGGACTGAGAGCACAGCTGTGACCACTGCCCAAACAGGAGTGAAGTTCAGAAACCTGGAGTGCTAGATTGCTCAGTAGCGTAGTCATGTTTATAAAGACACTTATAGTGTGTACAAAGTCCTGCTCAAGGCATTTGGCCAGGTCCTTATGTTCAAACTCTCTGCAGCCAGATCAGTACCAACTGCAGGCACATGACAGAGCAGCCATGTGATACTGGGTTAGAAGAGAAAAGTGGCCAGGCAGTGGTGGCGCACGCCTTTAATCCCAGAACTCAGGAGGCAGAGGCAGGCGAATCTCTGTGAGTTCGAGGCCAGCCTAGTCTACAAGAGCTAGTTCCAAGATGGGCTCCAAAGCTACAGATTAAACCCTGTTTCAAAAAAATATAAATAGATAGATAGATAGATAGATAGATAGATAGATAGATAGATAGATAGATAAGAAGAGATAGGCATGGTCCTTTCCCCAGAAACTCTCAAGATAGGCAGACAAAGGCTACTATCTCACTCATGTTGTGTGTTCCAGAGCCCAAGAGATCTCCCACCATCTTCCCACTGAGCCTCCCACAATCTATGTCCAAGGACCCAGTGATAGTCGGCTGCCTGATTCAGGATTATTTCCCATCTGGAAGCATGGACGTGACCTGGAGTAAGAGTGGAGACGATGTGACAGCCATAAACTTCCCACCTGTCCTGGTCTCCGAGGGCCGATACACCATGAGCAGCCGGTTGACCCTGCCAGCTGACCAGTGCCCAGCTGACGAATCTGTGACATGCTCCGTGAAACACGACTCTGACCCTGCCAAAGATGTAGAAGTGCCCTGCATAAAACCTGGTGAGGAAGTTACCTGGGGTGGGATAAGTCCTACCCTAACCTGGTATCTGGCCGCATGTGCCCCATCAGGGAACTTTGGAAGCCTCCAGAGCAGCCTTTCTGGCCAGTCTATGGAGGGAGCATGGATAGGCCAGGAGGAGCTGAGGTCCAAGACGTCCAGAGAAGGGGACAGGGAAGGAGAAAGGAGGAATATGCTGATTTGTTAGGACTTCTCCATTACAGTTCCCCAAGTTTGCGACCAACCCCGCCTGACACTGCTCCGGCCAGCTCTCGAGGACCTGCTCATGGGTTCAGAAGCCAGCCTCACATGTACAGTGAAGGGCCTGAAAAAGGACGAGATACCGGTTTTCACCTGGCAGCCCAGCACTGGGAAGGACGCAGTGACGAAGAAACCCGTGCCGGACCCCTGCGGCTGTTACAGTGTGTCCAGTGTCCTGCCTGGCTGTGCTGAGCGCTGGAACAATGGGGAGAAGTTCACATGCACAGTTAAACTCCCCGGCAAGCCTGACACCCTAACTGCCACAACTTTCAAAGTCCCAGGTAGGCCCAGATGCACCCTGGGACGTCTTATGACATTCCAGGCTTACATGCTGCCTCCTCCCTCTAACACATTTGCTCGCCTGCTCCCACCCTTATCTCACAAGGGAAACTGAGGCTATCTGAAGGACTTCCAAGAATGCAAGGACAGGGGGATCTTAGATCTCCTTCTCTGAGCCATCATCTCTTCTCTCTGTCTTCCAGACCCCTTGCCACCCCAGGTCCACCTGCTGCCGCCGCCGTCGGAAGAGTTGTCCCTGAATGAGCTGGTGTCCCTGACATGCCTGGTGCGAGGTTTCAAGCCTGAAGATGTGTTGGTGCGTTGGCTGCATGGAAACCAGGAGCTGTCTCGTGACAACTACCTGGTGTGGGAACCCAAGAAGGAAACAGGCGAGGGTGCCACCACCTATGCAGTGACAAGCGTGCTGCGTGTGCCAGCTGAAGCATGGAAACAGGGTGACAACTACTCCTGCATGATTGGCCACGAGGCTTTGCCCATGGGCTTCACCCAGAAGACCATCGACCGTCACTCGGGTAAACCCACCCAAGTCAATGTGACTGTGATCACGTCAGAGGCAGATGGCGTCTGCTACTGAGCCACCCTGCCTACCCCTATTCCTTAAATAAACTCTGTGTTCATCCAAAGTATTCCTGCACTTCCATCCAGTGCCTGTCCATCATAGCATCCTCGGATGATAGAACACTGGGAGGGGTCAGGGCCCAGGGAGGGAGGACCACCTGCCACCTGAGCCTCTGAGGCCTCAGAGCTTTGAAGACTCTTCACACCTATAATATGTGTATGCATGGACATGTATCAGTGAGTACTTATGGATGTGTGTCCAGGTGCCTTTGTGTGTTCCTATGTGTGATAAGTGAATTCATGTGTGCCTATGAGTATATAATAGGTACATGTATGGGTATGAGTGAACATGTGTACACCTATAAGTGTGAGTATATCTGTGTCCTGGTGAGCATGTGTGTACCTATGTATACCTATGAGTATGCTCGTGTCTGTCTGTGTATGGTCATGTTTGTGTGTGCTTGTGAGTGTGTGTACCTGCCATGTAAGTGTGCAGTGAATGGGAGGGGAGGATAAGCTGGAGATGAAATCCAAGGTGAACAGAGTAAGCCAAGACAGGAAAAGCTCAGGGGAGAGCCCCAAGGGCAGTAGTTTGCTACAGAACTGCTCCGAATGGTGGGTGGTGTGGCTGTGTATTGAACTGCAGCTTCTGACTCTAGCAGAAAAGGGGTAGAAGAGACAAGAGAGTAGCAAGATCAAGGCTGGTACCATCTGGTGGTCACAGCAGGAATGGTGAAGGGATGGGAGGCTGAATAATTCAAGGGATGCTTGAAAAGGAAGATGCCACCCACCCTCAGTGGAACAGCCCTGAATGCAGACATGCACAGCCATGCAGGGTGATTCATGGGAAAGAGCTATGATGCAGTGCAGACAGCCCCCAGCAGCACTCTGCTCTGTGTGCATGCACATGGGCATACGTGTGCACACACACTTACATTTGCACACACACACACACAGACCTGAACCCTGCCGGAGGAGGAAGTTCACACCCCACACCCAGCTTATGGAAAGCAAGGGGAGTCCCCTCCCAATCTCCCAATAGAATTCCTAGCCCCAACCCTGAAAAACTACACACAGCTCATGGACAAGGCCATAGGACCCTCTTAGGTGGCCTCTGCACCCTGCTTGCCCTTCCTAACTCTGATAGCCCTTCCCCCCCCAAGCCCAAATATAACAAATCACAAACAGGGTGCCGGAGCAGGAGCACACCATAGGGACCTCTCCCACATGGACACCCCCAGCACACAAAGTCCTACAACCAGGTATACCTGGCACCAGGATGCCCACAAGAGGGCAGTGGGGCCCCTGCACCTGTGTCACAGGCCTTCAGAACCTCTGCAGGGAGCCAGTTTCTAACAACTTCCCTCTGCTCTCAGAGCTACAGGGGAGAAAAGACCCATACACACCCTGATCATTCTCCCCTCGGAAGTCTAGTTCCCTGAGAACAGCAAGAGCAGCAGACCAACTTGGGAAACCTGACCCAGAAGCCACCTATGGTCAACCACCCATGGAGTCCAAGGCCTGGCCCATAACAGGGAATTCTAGTAAGAAAGAGGCAATAGGTGAAGGACTGAGCCCACAAGGGAGAGCAGGCATTCAGGAGAGAGGGTGGGTGGGTGGGTGAGTAGGTGGGTGGGTGGGTGGGTGAATATACAGATGAATGGATGGAATGATGAATGGACTGATGAATAGATAGAGTGAGAAAGATGAGATTGTCTATATCAGCATATGACAAATGGTTCCACTTCCACTTAACATGGAAGCTCTGTGCACTGGGACCCTGAGGACAGCAGGGTTGTCTGAGCTGGACACCTTTATCCCCTTTATCCGTCTATTGACAACTCCCCCAACCTTCAAGTCACAATTCTTGATAATGCAGCAGAGTCCTCTGGTCACATGTCCAGCCTCTGATATGCCAACCTCATGCCCAGAAACTGTGTTGGGTGGTATCTTTTTAAGGGTGTCTGGTTTTGTCCAACCTCCGTACCCAGGCCAACATTAGCCTAAGAACTGGGGCTTAGTGAGATGTCATTAAATATCTAGGTAGAACTAAGACCCAAGTGGCCTTGGGCTCAAACTCTTGTTGGAGTCACAAAGACAACAATAACCCTCTTGCCATGCCAGTTCTCTAATTAAGGTCGCCTGAGAGAGGATCTGAGAGAGTTGTCTTGGGGACATCTCAAGAACTGCAAGGATTCCAGCCCCTTACCTGAGACCCTGCCTCCTCATCCTCCCTGAGCAAACCTCTGCCCAGTTCTAAGGAACTTTCACCACCACACCCCCAAATCATAAGGAATAGAAAGGGAAGCCTTAGGCCTGGACCCCCATCCTCATGGGTTTGGGTCTATAAGGTCATCTATGTCTTACAGAACGTCAAGAGCCACTTCCCTGTGTGATGCTGGACCCATCCCAGGACATCCTGGAGGAAGAGACGCCTGGCGCCAGTCTATGGCCCACCACTGTGACCTTCCTCACCCTCTTCCTACTGAGCCTGTTCTACAGCACAGCACTCACTGTCACAACTGTGCGAGGCCCGTTTGGCAGCAAAGAAGTCCCCCAGTACTGATCAGAAGCCAGCCACAGGTGGCAGTCCTGAAGATGGTGGGTTGTGGGGGTTCTGGGGGTGCATTCAGAATATGCCTGTCCTCTCCACATGTGGCCTTGCAACCCTTCACAAACATTAAGGGAATGGGAGTAAAGGATGACAGCCCTCCCTGGATTTAATCCAGTCTTCCACAAGCCAGGGCTGAGACAGAGGCAAAAGCGAAGACATAGCCCAACTCCAGAATGACATAGCCCAACTCCAGAATGACATAGCCCAACTCAAGGATGACAATATAGCCCAACTCCAAGATGACATAGCCCAACTCCAGGATGGCATAGCCCAACTCCAGGATGACATAGCCCAACTCCAGGATGACATAGCCCAACTCCAGAATGACATAGCCCAACTCCAGAATGACATAGCCCAACTCCAGAATGACATAGCCCAACTCCAAGATAACATAGCCGAAACCTAGTATCTCCTCTGGCTGATCACTCTTGTCTTTGCAGGGATGAAGCATGGAGAAGATCCTCTACATTTCAGAGCCAAGACTTGTGTGACAATTGCCCAACCCCTACTCACATACTTTCCTGAGCAATAAACTGATGCAAAAAAAGCACAACTTCTTACTCTCGAAGACAAAAATTAACAAAGAACAGCAGAGGATCAGGGAAAGTATGGTGATACCAGACTAGAGAGTGCTTTCATCATAGAATGTGGGGATGCTGGGCATGGTAGACCCGGGGTGCCCAAAGTCTAGTATCTGAGACATAACACGGAATTATGTGTGACTGAATCCAAGTGCTTAACACTGGCTTCATCAAGGGGTGGTGTGTGTAGCCTCTTCAGACATGATGCCAGGTCATCAAGCTTCATCTCTGCGCCTGATTTCCAAATATTTGGTCAGGGTACTTTTCACCAAGGGTGGACAATGGACACCAACCCTGGTCTTGGTTGCAGACCCTGATCACTGAGCACTGATTTTGGAAACTGAACCCTGATCCTGTTCAAGACCTCATGAGGCCCTGGTTCTGACCACTAATTCCATGTTGAGATCACTCGTTCTAATCACTAATCCTTGGTTCTGATCACTGATTCTTGGTTCTAATCACTGAGTCCTGGTCCTGATCCCTGATCCCTGGTCCAGATCACCTAGCTAAGTAGAGATCACTGAATCCTAGTCCAGATCATTGAATCCTGCTCCTAATCACTAGGTCTGGTCCTCATTACTGAATCCCAGGCTTGACTACTGATCACTAGTCTTGATCATTAATATCTAATCTGACCCTAGTCACTGGCCCATGTGTCCTGTGCTGATCACTGATTCCTAATCCATATAAATATGACCCTGTTCCTAAACACTGTTCATGGGTCTATATCACCAGATCCAGTCCTGATCACTGGATCTTAGACCTGGTAACTGATTCCTGGTCCTCATCACTGAACTCTAGTCCTCAACACCCATCCCTGGTACTCATCTCTCAGCCCTGGTCCTCATCACTGACTACTGGTCATTATCACTCGGGACTGGTTCTCATCACTCAGCCCTGGTCCTCATCATGGACAATTGGTCATTACCACTCATCCCTGGTACTCATCATTCAGCCCTGGTCCTCATCACGGACAACTGGTCACTATCACTCAGCCCTGGTCCTCATCACAGACAATTGGTCATTATCACTCATCACTGGTACTCATCTATCAGCCCTGGTCCTCATAACTGAACACTGGTCCTCACCACTGAACCTTGGTCATCATCACTGATCTGTGGTTATCATCACAGAGCTCTGGTCTCAAGCAGAATGCATGGGTTCTGACCACCAGACTAAGAGAAGAAGAAAACTAGGCCCAGGTTCTGCTCACTGGTTTGTGGATCTGTTTACTAGGTCGTGGTCCAGATCCTGAAAATTTGACACTAGTCCACATCACTGAGCTCTGGCGCTGTACAATGGGCCTAGGATCTAATAACTGGACCCTGGTACTGATCAATGGACCCCCACGTAGGCAGTGGGTCCTATACATGACACTAATTTCTAAGTCTGAACTCTAGCCCCAATATCTGCTTACAAAAACTGGTCCTGCACCCTGGTCCTCAGCTCACATGTGTTTGTCTGAGGACCAAGACTACAGTGGACTTTAAAGAAGTCCCTTTTCCATTCTAAGCCTCATTCTCATTAAGAAGATACCTTCAGGGTCAGAGGGATGATTCCAGAGGCCCTCAACACTGTCCACTCATGAGCTGCAGTGAGACAGTGACCCCGTTGGTCATCTGTCTTTCCCAGTCTCAAAAGGGGGGAAGGGGAACAAAGCAAGCCCAGGCCAGATAAGCTGGAACCTTTGGTCTGGGGTCTCAAGATCTGGGGTCAACACTGTGAAGCAGGGTTGCAGTACAGGTGTGGGGGCAGGGAAGGGATGGGCATGTTTGTAACACTTGTTTTTCTTTCTTCTGAAGTCTGTTGTTGATCACCTGCTGAAACACTCAAAATAGCTCAGAGAACTGAGGCTAGCTGAGTCATCATGAGC